CATGCAGTTAACTGGGACTTTCCTTAGCTTCTTCTCTTTTACGGTCACCATATATTTATCTACTTGTCTCCCGCGCTGCGAGCGAAATCGGTATCCTCTTTTACGCCAGATGTTTCTTCCTCCCTTCATTCATCTCTCGCTTCGCAAAGCTCAGGTTTACCCTATACCTGGTTACTGCAGTCATGTGTGTGGGGGTGGGCTTCGTTTACCTCTTTCTTTTCTTGATCGAGTTCAACGCAGGGCCATTCGTCTCATTAACGGCGGTCCCTAACATATAACTTGCAGTCACTAGTTCACTGTCGGCCAGTCACTTCTTTATCCTTGTTCTATCGATACTATTTTGGATTCTGCTCTAATGAACTTTCCGCTTCTGGCCCTCTCTCGCTTGTTCTTTCGCGTAGACCACGCACATAAGTTGTTAGCCTCCCACCTAAGGTGACTATCCCCAGGTGTCGCATTTCTTACTTTCAATCATCGTTTTCCGCAAGAACAGCACAACTATGGAAAACTCTCTCCCTTTCGATCATCCCCCCAACGTACGACATCCTTGCCTTTAAACGCAGAGTCAACAAGCTGGTTTTAGCTAGAATGTTCCCCATAACTTCGCATGTATCCTTGGATCATCGGGCTTACCCCCTTTAATGTATTCACTTTCGTGCAATAAAATGGTCTCCTCCTCGTGAAGGAATCGATTTTCGTCCCCATATTTGAAAAAGGCCCGCGCAGTGACTGCTTGAATCGTGGGGGTATAAGCCTCATCCTGATAGCGTCAAAGATGGTAGTGTGCGTTATTCCTCGTAGATTGCACAAGACGTACTGTGGGACTGTTTATTTAGAAATGGAGTACCCGAGAAGTATGTGTCGATCCTCAAGGAGTTGTATCGTCATATCTTAGGTTGGGTTAGGGCCTAAGGCCAACTTTCGTCGCCCTTTACCGTCTCCTGGGGAGTGCAGCAAGGCTGTCCTATATTCCCATTTCTCTTCAACTTTGATATAGAGGATGTTCTACAGGGCGCTTTATCCGGTCTATTAAACGGTGGAGTTGAACTCCTCCCAAGGTTCTTGACTTAGAATATGCCGATGGCATCGCCTTGTTTGGTGACAATGCACAAATAGTTCAACACGCTTTAAACCGCTTGGTGATTGAGGTATACAAATATGGTATGTGCTTAGACCATCAAAATGCAAAATGCTTCTACAAGACTGGTCAAAACCCGTGGGCACGGACCATGCTCTGCTACGAGCGAGATTCGCCCTACGCCTGGTAAACAACCGCAGAAAAGCCACCGAAAACGGATGCCCACGATACAATGTCAGCAATGGTTGCAAATCGCCTTTATCAGACAGGAAGGATTCATCAGATTAAAAAGGAAAGGGGTGACACTGGATTCGTTTCACCCTTGAAAATAGAAAACATGAGTCCACCGAGAGTGACCAGAAAACGGATTTGTGTCGCTTCTGGGAATTATGCAATGCAAACCTTGCCGTCTCAACTCAAAACTGACTAAGGAAACAAAGATCATTCCGAGACTGCACTTCGGAGATTGGGAAAATTCAACAGTCTTCTGCTCGGATCAGGAAAACATTGTTTAAACAAAGCAAGCCATCACTATTTTATGATTTGGTTTTTCCCTGTGAAAAGATTAACCGTTGCCTAATTTGTGGAAGGAGAGGTGATGTGGTTGACAACTGACTGATTCGTGAAGTAACATTATTTTCACTTTTCAACGCATTTTTCCTGATTCATGTAAAAGCCCTATTTTGTTTTATTGCCCTCCCTTTGGAGAAAAAATATAACCTCGAACAAGGCACAATTTCTAGGGAGTCATGTCGCGCGCTTTGCTCTCTGTACACTTTCTACTGCAGGTCACATTAAACTAGAAACGCTCGCATCTGACTCAATCTGTTCTCGCTCTGGGAAACGTTCGATAAGCCCGATCTATTTAATTTCATAAACGCGTCGTAAATTGGTGAACCCTCGTTTTTTAACCCGTTTTCTTTCAGCACGCAACGGGCTTAAAGTTTTCAGTGAGTCTGGTGCATCAACACAACAATCTTTTTTATTTTTGTATTTAGCGTATATTGTTATTATTTATCTTACTTTTTTAACAGTTTTATTGTATTTGCTACTTGGTTTTACCGTTAAACAATTTTTTGCTCACGATTCCTCAAGTATTTCGTTATTTGTACTTCGTAACCACTTACATAGTTGGATACTTATCTTACTCATTCATTTGCATTGCACCGGTACGGTTTTTCGGGCATCCTTGCAAATTTCTTATTCATTTGTCCTCCCTCAATTTACACCGTACCCAATGTTTAATCGATTTTCTGAGGGCAAGGAGAACGGCGCTATAGCCGCAACAGAGGAGACGAGCGTTTTGGGCCGGCAAGCCCGTATCCCTGAGTTCATCCCGGAAGATCCCGAATTTTGGCTGGCTTAGGTAGAAGCACAGTTCAAACTAGCTAGGGTGACGAAACAACTAGCTAAGTTCACACAACTCGTAGGTCACCTCCCGAGGTCTATGACCCCGGGCTTGCGTGACATCGTATGTAACCCACCCACCCACTCCCCGGTCGTCCGTACGACGCACTTAAGGATCCTCGGTCGATTCGGCATGCCACCTTAAACAGCTCTTAGG